TTAAAAAAATATCGTTAAGTAGGTTTCATAATCTCACGTTCTAAATAACTATTTGTCTTATAGGTTAATTCCACTATGATAAATTATCATTTATTACTATCCATTGTAGTACACAATGCAAAAATGTTCCGTATTAGATATTTATCTATGCACAATTATTTAAATAATTCCATGTAATCACACTGCCTTGGAAATAATAATAAAAAGTCACGGTTAGAGATAAGATTCAGTGTCAAGAAGTGACAAAAGATCACTTGTTAATTAACTATTGTATGTCCTTACCGAGAATTTATAGTAATTTAACCCTTATTTAACAATATTGTTGCAAAAGAGACTATAGCACACGTGATGGCGAATCAAGAATGGCGGTGTTCAGGATGTTATATGCTTAAAAAAATGCCAAAATTTTACACCACCATCAATAAACCCAGCCAAAATTCCGAGTTTACGAAACTTACATTAGGAAGTGTAGATTATCTGCTGATTCTTAGCCAGTAAATGTACTTACAATGAGCGATAAAAAGCCAGACATTTAATTGACAGCGTGCTCGTACTACCCGTGGAGCACCAGATTGGTTATTCAGTCGGCTCTAAGCGTACCATGTCACGTAGCTTGGAGATCAACGAATAACGTAATGTAAGGCCTATACAGCATAAAAATTATATAAGCATGACGATATTAACCGTAAAGAAAATTATATGGTACAGGTAATGTGTCATATACAGCTGGTTAAAAAACGCGAGGTCCAACAGGTTTAAGACCTACCTACATTTAAAACAGAATCCGCTCTATATAACGCTAAGGACCATAGACCACGCATTCGTTGTCCACTGTCTAAAGACAATCCGATTTTCTTTAGAATTTGAAGTCCTATAACATTCTTAGCAATGTTCGAGCTTATAACATTTCAAATGGATGAAAATGTAGAACTTTTCATACTGACATTTAATGTACTAGTAGGCGAAGTGTAGCCACCCCCCTCCCTCCGCTAGATGTAGTGATGACCTGATCAGACATGCGGGAAGTCGACGGATGAGGTGGCTCAAGACTGTCCTTGGGGGAAGCCTGTATTCGGTAGTGGAGTTGTGAAGAGCTGTAATGAATAATGAATTCAACGTATAAAGTAAAGATACAGCCTATATACGTCCCACTGCAGGGCACAGGCCTCCCCTCACTTCTGAGAGGGTTTTAGGACAAGGAAGTGTCCGCCGCGCTGCCCCAATGTGAGTTGGCAAACTTCACATGTTTTCGAAATGCTTTTTTTTCTTATTCCTCAGACATGCAGGTTTCCTCACGATTTTTCCTTCACCGCCGAGCACGTCGTATATCAGCATTTAAAATTGCAATTAACAAATTCATTGGTGCCGGCGGGAATTGAACCTGGGTTCTACTCGCGTTCTGTTATATTTACAGCGAGCGTTAACCATCTGAGCTACCACGGCTCTTAATTCAACGTATAACATATAATAAAGAATAGCTGTTCCATTTTATCGTTTTTCTCACAGCTATGGCTTCACAATTTACAAATTTGTAACTAACTAAACTGAGATGAGCAGCAGCATCATCCTAATAACTCAAAATAAACCTATTATAACCTTATTCCTAATAACTAAAAATAATCTACGGTTTCCAAGACGTACGTACGTGAAGCGTGGCAACCATGGTTGATATCCCTATTAGGCAATCTATGATAACCTATGTTCACCAGTTAACGTTTGAAAGGATGTAAAGAATGAATGGAAAAGGGGAAAACTAGGTAATCATTACCTAAAAGTGCGAAATAAAAAATAGCCCGTATCTTGATAAAGGTCATAGAATATGTATATATGTTTCTGTTTTTTTGAGATGCTTGTGAAAAAAGTATATGTATAAGCAAATAAGAAAAATAAGCTACTTAAATATTATTTTCGTATTCGCATCATCCTTAGTTAACTTCTTAACATATATGCATAATTAGTGTTACGAATCTATAACTTACAGATTCTAAGATTATCCTCGCACATATACGCGCTCATCAGTCAATGTTTTCTATCCCACGGCCTAAGAATTTAATAATATGGGTGTTGACTTAAAACACAGTATACCTGAGTGACCGAGTTTTGATCGGCGTTAGAAGAAATAGTAATTTCCTTAGGGTTGACACATATCCAAATAAACTTGGAAAGTAAAACATTATCCATACATAACATTGGTTTTGTATTAACTTGGAAAGTAATACAAAACTAATCAAATGGTTAACCACTTGCCTTCAAAAAACTAGTGATACATATACATTGTACATATATAGAAGAATGGCTCACTTCATCATCATTATTACAGCTTTTCACAAGTCCACTGCTGAATATAAACCTCTCTCAAGTAATGCCACAAAGCACGGACCTGAGCCACCTGCATCCATCGACTTCCTGCATGTCTTACCAGGTCGTCACTCTATCTAGTGGGGGGTAGCCCTACACTACGCCTACTGGTCCGAGGCTGCCACTCGAGAATCTTTTTTCCCCAGCAGTCGTTGGTTCTTCAAGCTTTATGGTCGGCCCACTGCTACTTCAGCTTAATAATCTCTCTCCAAAAGTCACTGAGCGTCCTCGAGCTTCCTCATACGGCCAGGAGTGGCTCATTTAAAGTGTAAGATAATGTCATAATTAATGAGATACGAAACAAAACACTCAATTCTCAACACAAATAGAATTGATTTTTTTATTAAATATAAGCATCGATCACTAATAAAGAATGATCGATGAATATAAGATAACAATAAGCAATTCTTATTGAAAGTCATTCCCCAACTTTACCATTCGTTCTGGAAAACCTCCGTCGTGGGAAGACCCAGCAAGAAATCCAGAGAATTTTTTATCTGTTATATGACTTGGTCTTACTTATAATCTTTAATTATCGCATACTTAAATTAAGTATTAATTATATCTATACTTTTTACTGCCATTAATAGAGAGAGAAACTTTAAGCATTTCTTAGTTGATGTCAACTTTTGTAAGTGAGGTCGTCTATTAATAGCCCAGAAATATAAAAAAGTCATTATAATAGTACCGGACATAACGTGTAAAATTACATCACAATAACAACCCATCATGATTTCAATTAAAGCAGACTGCGAGCGTAATCTCATGCGTAGTATTTTGACCTCCTGAGTGAGTTCCTTCCTTGTCGGATCACTTTCACGATGCAAAGGTTACGTAAAGACTATAATACAAAGTTATCGTCCGTTACCTACCATAAATGACTGTAATTATATAAAAATATTGCTATACGAGTATAAGTATAAAACAGTCTTGTATAATACTTAACAATAATTTTTATTAGTACATCTCAGAGTTTCATAAACAAAATTCGTTACGGATTAAGATTTCGTAAGTTACATATATTTCCTGATTTAAATAACATGTTTATACATCATTAAAATATAGTGCATTAGAGATTTGAATGACTCTTTAAAATTGCGTAGAATTAGAAATATAGATCACATAATCAATTGAAGTTATTGTAAATGTTTCTCGGAATCAAGAGGTGTAAGTTTGTAAAACTTTTTCGATAGTTTATTTATCTTTGCTAGATTACTTTTACGCACTGTTAAATCAATATCTAAATCGATACCTACTATACTATTTCCATATTTTTTTATAAAATAACGTTGCAAACACACGTCACAGTCTACCTGATAGTAAATGGATGCTGTTCCCCATAGATATATATATGTATAGATTTATATCTATCCTCAGTTGAGGATAGATATCAAAATTTTAGATGCGTTGTTACCCCCGAGAATTAAGATAGAACGCGAAGTATCCTGTAAAAAGGGGTCTCCGGTGCTTTGCACTCACCATACGAAACACAGCAGCTTTAAGCTGCTATTTTGCGCTGATGTTCTTTATGTTGCGTTTTATTCCCTTCACTTTTATCAAACAGTAAAAGCTCCCTTCCAAACGTGTGGTATTGAGGTCTATAATGGCCACAGGGATGTTTGCGCTCACACTATAACATCTCCACCTTTGACGCTGATCCATGTTGCCGATATGACCACTACCGCCATCTATTGGAAACCATGAAATCTTTCAGGAATTTCCCATAGTTATCTCTTACGACACCCACTTGAAATGAGGTGATGTATCTCTCACATTCGGCGTTTTATATTTGTATTAACATAACTTTTTAGTTTGTTTAACAGTATATCTTTAAGGAGTTACCTAGCCTATCCTTTCCATAACAGCCTACCATAGTCTACTGCTGTACATGGGCCTCCCTCATAGACTGCCTCATAGGGGTCATATATTTGCCATAGTTATCACGCTTGACAACATACCGTGAGTTGGGTACAAGATTATCTAAGAAACTATAACAGGATGTGAGCAGCAGCGTCTTCGTGGTAACAAGTTGTTACCACGAAGACGCTGAATTGATTATCTAATCCCTTGTAAAATCCTTTGTAGACACTTAAAATAATAATAAAAATGAAGAAGTAAAAATCTATTACATATAAATAAAATTGAAATGTCTGTCTATAATATCGAAACAACTATCTTTTCATGAGCGCAGTGGGCCATTTGCATGCTGTTAAATTAGATACACTTTTTTTTTTAATTTTTTGTCTGTCTGTATGTCCGCTTATCTGTTCAGGTTCAAATTAATCTTCGGATTGGCTCAACCTTGACGAACTGATGGAGAGAAATGTGAGGAATGATTTAGGCTATATTTTGCTCGGAAAACTTGAAGATTTTTTGCACAAATCGAAATATTAATAAAATAAATGGTCTTTGATCCTACCCAGGCAAAACCGAGGCGACTCGTTATTGAGGTAATAAAACTAAAGTTTATATAATTAAATAATGATTTTACTATAAAACGACATAACAATAACTTATCCTAAAATCTATTTACAAACAAAAAATATAGTTCAACTGTAATACTGGATGACCACCATTGTTAAGGCTTCTATCTGTGAAACTATGACTTAGTTGATTTCAAACAATGTAGGTTTTGAATATGCTTATTTCCTTTTATGGTATGGGCCGCCACCGTGGCCTGAGCCAATGGCATTTGTGTAACTGTCACCGCCAAAGTCGTGTCCACCTCCGTGTCCTCCACCATGGGTGCCGATGTCGGTCAAGCTTATTGAGGATATTCCACCCCCGTGACCACCCCCGCCTAGCCCCCTCCCGTGGCCAATGCTAAAACTATCGCCGCCGTGGCTTCCGCCGAATCCGTGGCCTCCACCGCTGTAACTATCTCCACCGAGGCTACCGTGGCCTCCGCTACCAAAAGACTCATGACTTGTTGTAACTGAGTAACTATCGTGACCTCCTCCTCCATGACCACCAATACTGTAACTATCATGACTACTGCTATGGCCATATTCACCAAGTCCACCAGATCCTCCAGACGAAAGGCCATAGCCGCCACCACCATTGAAGCTATCGTGGCCACCAGATGAAAATCCCCCACTTATTCCTCCCGAAAATCCTCCGCCGCTGTGATGATCGTGTACTTCAAGACCACCACCGAATCCACCTACGTGGCCACCTAAGTCATGGCTATCGTGGCCTCCACCGAAGCTGCTACTTAGACCACCGCCATGGCCACCTCCAAAGCCACCTCCGAATCCAGCGCCGATATCACCATGTCCAATTCCATGACCAATCCCGCCGCTATGATCCCCTCCAAAATCAAAACTGCCTCCGTGACCACCTCCTAAATCGTGTCCTCCAAGACTGCTACCTAAGTGGCCACCACCAAAGTCATGTCCTCCAAATCCACCACTCCCGTGGCCACCGCCAATGTCATGTCCTTCAAATCCACCACTATGGCCGCCTCCAATGCCACCGATTCCAATGTCTCCGTGGCCGTGATCACCTCCAAAATCATGTCCACCGCCGCCATATCCACCGCCAATGGAAATACTATGGCCATGGCCATGACCGCCGCCAAATCCACCTCCAAAACCACCCCCGAAACCACCTCCTCCAAAGCCTCCGTGACCTCCGTGGTCATGTCCTTTTAAGTGGTCTATAAAACCGCCATGTAAGTGATCTGCGAAGCTACTACCGTGGCTACCACCGTAGCCACCGCCGCCTCCATGTCCGTGGTCATTGTGATGCTCGTGAACTATGACTTCTTTTGATGAATGATGCTCTTCCGGTATGTGTACTCGAATATGAACGCTGCAACAAAAAAAGGAAAAGGATATTATATTAACAACTATACTGCACATAATTTATTCGCTTCAGCATTGAGTTACAATTAAAAGTAATTGAAATCAAAAACAATGATGTGAAATTATACATCGCAAAGCCAGCAGGTCAGGTAAGACACAAGTGAAAACTAGGTATAATGGTAATATATATACAATGGGTTGATTCTCCCTATTTACGGCAATGTAGAGCCGTGAGAAACAGTTATAGAAATCTCAACCAAATTGCCCCATCTCCATAGCATTTTGCGTTTCTGCTTGTACTTTTATACTTGTAAACAAGAATTACTAACTGAAGAAGAGGCAGTTTGAGAAAATATGAACATGATGATACTAACTGTTCATGGCCAAAAGTCGCGGAGCAGATGCCAACGCTAGCCAGTAGAAAACAGGTCAGCTGAAATAATAACACATGGCTTTTAGTGCTTAAAAATAATTTCTACATATTTATATATTTATAATGCTCATTTTTTTACTGTACACACATAATATAATTTTGTTATGATTCCCACAAAACGGTTAGGATCTCTACGACATGGAATGCGATCTTTTAAGCCCAGCTGACAGGTTTTGACAAATACGAGTATAATGTAAATCAAAAAAAAACCATAAATATAATAATATAATGTACATATAATTACTTCAGGACTTTGTGAACTTTTGCAAAATAACATACGTTCCTAAATCGTCAAATATGTTATAAAAGATTAATATTTATAAAGAATTGTGCACATGATAATTTCGATATAAAGTATATAAGTTTATTAGGATATTTAAATAAGATATGTATATATAAAGCATAAGGTTTTGTTAGAACTATTCTAACAAAATTGTAGCCAAACCTTTTGCTACTTATAATCTTAGTCAACTCATATTATGTTTAGAATTCAGTTTAAAATAGTAAAAGGTTTACAGCGAAATGTTAAATTTGATATGTTTAGCGTTAAAATAAAATAAAGAATGTAATAAAAAATACAAAACCAAAATTGAACGATGTTCATTTAAAACTATTTCAGCAAAGATGATAAATTGTCTCAATCAGTTAAATACTCGGTAATTATACGATGTCAAAAGCATCACCATTTCTGTGAGCTTTAAACCATTAAGCACACATCAAAGTCAGATGATACGAATCAGGCGACGTTCTCACATAATCCGGAACTAAATAACTATCACGTAATGTTACTCACGGCCAAGCGGAAAGCCATTATGTGTGGCAGCGACTGGCTTCTAAGAACGGCACAAGCGCTGACAAGATGAACGCAAGTGTTGTGACGCGTTTGCAGTCGCATGGGCTTTTATATGACAGTGAATGTATAGCAACCCCTACTCGCGACGCTAAATTGTATCAAAAATTATCATTTCTGTAATTGAATAAAGTTATCTAGGAATGGGGTTGACTGCAATGTTTCCTCTGATAAACAAATTTATTATTTTTCTGTAACTTAAATAAATGTTTAATGTTGATCCACTAGTAACTGCCAGTATATAAATACTAAAATACAAAAAATACAGGAAATGGAATTACACATTTAAAAAAAATCGATATTCATCCATTGTCATAAACTTGTTTTTAAAATAGAATTTAAATCAAATCTGTGTTTGGCTCTGTGTCAGAAAATATGTCAAATTACTTAATGATATCATTTTAATAATGATAATGTTGATTGTATAATTAAAACAATATTAATTAACTTGGCGTTATAAGAGATTGCATCATCTTCGTTGCAACTTCCTGAAGCCTATCATTAAACTCTTAACTTCCGGTTTTTATCAATGTAATTTCCTCAAGTAATAATCACACAGAAAGTTAATAGCCGGTGATTCTAAACAATACAGCAAATATCTAAGTAAAAGACTAACATTAATTCAATTTTACATATATTACAAGCTTTTTCTTTTTCTTACTTAAAAACTATTCCTTATTTCATAATGTTGTTTCTTATCAAATTTTAGCGTCTTTGAACATACAATAAAATTTACGATTTTTGTGTACAAATAGTGTTTGTTACTTTTGGGAAGTTATAAGCATGAATTCAGTTGGACAATAGCCATTGTTAAATCTTGAAACAATATAAATGCAATCTTAACACCAATACAATTTCTATAACAACTTAGTCCGGGCCTACTTAGAGAGTTAGAGACTTCAGACAAGGGCCGAGAAAAGGGCCGAGATTATAGAGGCCAATAATCGAGAGTCCAATAACACCGCATGATTACTACACTACGCCCATTTATTTTTAATGGGTATACAATTTTTATGAAAAATTGATAAAAGAGGTTAACGTTTTATGCCTATCAAAATTTGTATTTAACAATTTTTTTTTTAAATTTTGTTCATTGTTTTTTACCTATTTATAACCAAGTGCTTGATTATACAATCCCACCTGGTGGTAATTAGTGATGTATCCCAAGATTCACTATCTTGGGATACATCACCAATTACCACCAGGTGAGATTCGCATTTTATTATCGTAAAATGTATTTCATATATATTTACAATTAAGTTTCACATATCATTCATAAAAATTTGAGGTCTTACTAATAAAATTGACATCGATTAAGAACTGCTTAAAGTTGCTGTCTCTCTTTTTACTAAATGACAATAGAACGAGAGAGGTATAGAGATAAATAATAGCTTATTTAAGTAAGCGACTATTATATAAGTTCCATTTTACATTAAAACAGATGGGATCATGCATTGGGATCTTCAACTATTATTTTAAAGGCTTCACTCATTTCTTATTTCAATTGGTAATTCAAAGGATTGCATAGTCATCATAGTCATCAGTTGTTTAAGAACTAAAGAAGTAAATAGAACAATCAAACAATGAACTGCCGTAAGAGCCCTGATAGATCAGGGGATAAGCGTTTGCCTTAAAATTTCATAGCACACGAGCATATTCAGTTCAGTTACTGACGCCACTAATAAACTTTTCTACTGCAATCTTCGGTGTTGATATATTTGGTGCTTGGTGGTGAAGGAAAACATTGTCACACAACAGTGTATGTACATACACTAAATAATGCCACAGAGCTGTATTCATTAATTTGTTACACTTCTGAATTTTTTTTTTTTGTATTCTTTTACGTAGTTTCAAACCAAAATAAAAAGCCCAGAACTCCATTGAAAGAAAAAATTGTATTTCACATTTGTCATTGTTGTTATAATAGTATTTTATCAGACCCGTTATCAGTTGATGCCAAAAAAACTTTATGTAAATAAGATATTAAGTAATTAAAAGTTTATTTGTTAGTATTTATCCTATTTAAGAATTTTGTTGTCACTACCAGAGCGTCATAATCGCTTCAGCGACAAAGCCCTTTTTATAAGAATAAAAAAATAGTAATATTTCAGAAATAAATATTAATCTCTCCACTTTCCTAAGAAATTAACCTGTCAAATATTTTACCTTTAAGCCCCACCCTGGTGACAGGAAAAGTCGTGGATGCCAGAGAGGGCCCATTCCTAGCAGTAGGACGTACATACGCTTTAACATCACTTTTTTTACTTTTACTGGACACGTTATTTAATAGGTCGCAGTTCCATCCCCATCAGGTTCCGATGTTTTGGGAGACAGTGACTTCACACTCGTTTAAAATATACGCATCATCGCAGTGGTGGTGAAAGCAGAGGTAGATAAAGAGCCGTGATAACCCAGGGGCAAGCGCCCTGTTAATTTCACTGTACGCGAGCAAACCGGGTACAACCTCCCAACCCGAGAAACTAATCCCCGCGTTCACCGATCACATTATTTATTGGTTGCAAATTACAATCATAGAATACTTTAATCAAATACATATGTAGTATTCTATGGTTGCAATCAGTTATAATTATTGCTAATACCACGCATTCTTCCGTGTAGGAAAATATCGTGAAGAAAACTGAAAAATAAAAATAAAAATTTCGGAGACGTAAATTTCGCTAAAATTCGACGGACACTTCCTTGCACCTTTTCTGAAATTTAAAGTAACAAAAATTCAAAGTAACAATTACAGCAAATCCAGTATACCATAAAAAAAGAATTGCAGAATATAATTACATACATCTCACTGCTGGGCAAAGGATTTACTGTAATTGCTACTTTAAATTTTTAATTGTTTATTGAATTGGCGATTGCGGCATCGATTTTCTCAAAATATGACGCTATTCTGAAAATTTTGGGTCAGCCATAGTCATAAGATATTGATTCTGGTATCGAACTTTTACGATATCAACAATTTTATATTAGTTTTTAACTTTATATATATGCGTGGTAGAGCCACGCTGCGGCTTTATTATGGTTGTAACAAGAATGGGTCGGCTCGACCAGGGAAGTACCACACTCTCACAGAATACCAGCGTAAAATAGCAGCTTAATACTGCTGTGTTTCGTACGGTGAGTGTAAAGAACTGGAGTTTTACTGGAATCGAGGCTTTCCATCTTAGTCCTCAGGGATGACAACTCGTCTGCATTTTGATTCTTAATCTAGGTTAAATGTAGAAGTCTATGTGCCACAGCATCCACTTACTATCGGGTGGACCGTGTGCTCGTTTGTCACCCTTATTTTACAAAAAAAACTAGGCTGATCTATACATATTTTTCTTGCGACGATCAAATTCGAATTGCTCCAGTGCAATTTTTTGTTTCAATGCATGAGGGTAACAAACGAGTACTCAGCCATATGGTAAGTGGAAGCCGAGGCTCATAGACACCTACGTCTATCTTCGATTAAGAATGTAGATACGCCTCAACTACTAGTTGAATGAAACTCTGGTTCTCTAAACTCGCCGTAAGTCTATCTACATGTCAGAGTCATGCTGCAGTTATATTATGGTGTTAGCACAAATGGGTCGGCTGGACCGGAGACCACGCTCTACCCTTTTTGCTGTAAATGAGGTATTTCGTTTTGGAATGCATCTGTATTTTAATTCCCAATCGAGGATAGATGTGTAGATGTCAATGGTCCACAGTATCCACTTAGCAACGGGTGGTGGTGTGTTTGGAACCCACATTCCATAAAAAAAAACATAACACACCTTAAGCTACTATTAGCGCTGGTATTCACTGCGAACCTGATCCTTACCCGATCATTTGAAAGATCTTGAGCTAAGATCTAAGAAGAATTAATTATAATCTACTTCTACAACATCCCCACCAATCCAAGTGGGATATTAATTTTTGTTGTGTCGTCACCATACGGCAGCCACCAACGTGGAAAAACCATTTAACATGTATACAGATATTTATAGAGGCATTCCTGGAATGACAGATAATGTATTCAACGGTAAGCTTTACATAAGCTAAAAGTCAAGTAAGATTTAATTTCCTAGATATATTATATACGCATAAATAAATAACGCCGTCGTCACCAAAAGTAAAAACAGTGAAGATCTAAAGCGCACGAATAAGGCCTCCTTGAATGACGCACTACGTAATGGTGTAGGAAACAGTGCAGGAATGAGAACAATGAAGCTGTAAGAGCTGCATAGGCTAACAGCACCAACATCATCGAAACCAGAACAGTGCAGTCTGTTCGAGCGTGCAGCGGGGCGGAGTCACGGCGTGCATAGCAAACACTCATTTAACCCTTAACTAAGACCATTGCAACTTTATTCTGTCCATTTCAATTCTATGTAAACTGGTTTTCTCCAAAAAAGGTATTATATTCGTCCCAGCCAATTATTATATTTGTTTGTATGTGAATTGAACCTACTATACGTGTTTGCATTAATGGATTTGTCGTACGATGGCTCTTCATCGGTCAATCAAATAAGTGTCAAAAGGCGATGCTTCATCGACGCCATTTTGACAGTTGACATTATAGCAAATAATTTAGTGGATTTTAGTATGTTGCAGTGTAGTCAGTTATTTTAAGTAGATTTTTCTAAGTTTTCCTAATTATTCCCAAAGCTTGCTTGCTATTTTTTCTTAATATATTAATTATAGTATACGACTTTGTGTTATGGTCTCTGTCCTCCTGATAGTTTTGGCGGCAAAGCTTAAGGACCATATTACCCTGACGTTATTTAAGAAAAAAATTAAGCAACTTAAATAAAATACTCGTAACCTGCTATTTAAATACAAATATGTACAAAGTCTTTACAAATAAAATAAATAAATACAGTTCCATATACAAAAACAAGTTCTGAACAACATTATTTAGCACTGTTATATAATATGTATTTTTAAAGTTAATAAATGAATTGTTCAGATATTTGGCGTTT